AATTATACTCTCAACTTAGTTATTATCCTGTAAGTAACATAAGCAACTCAAAGAACTTGAGCCAAAAAGTGAAATAAATTATATATTTGACGTCTATTTTCCACTCCAAAGTTTTGCATGAAATTTAAGCATTAGTAGATATCACTCAGTAACACCTGAATAAATGTTTAACTTAACAAATCAAAATCTTTTTAAATTATAATTTAAAAATATAAGTTATTTTATTTTCTTATAAGCATGTTAACTGTTAAATAATGTATATTTGTATAAAACTTCAGACTACATTTTTTTATCAACATATAAGGGTGTGGTAAATACAGTTAGGAGTCTGGAATCATGGGAATTACTGAAAGTGCAAAAAAGCTGTACATGTTTTCAGTTTTCCAAAGACCATACATTTATTTAAAAGTTGTTTTAAAATTAAAGCTGCACAGATATTTTAATTTGTTTTATTTTTATACCATGTCATTATCTTCTTTATAGCATCTATATACAATCAGTTCCCAAGTTTATTTGCTCTGGTACTGCACAAACCCCAACCATGAATCAAAATGTTGGAATCTGTGTTCAAAACCAAGTAGAACCTATGATAAAATCCTACTGAGATGTGCAGAGAAGGAAAATACAGCTAAGGCTGCCACTCCTTGGCAAGCACTGCAGCCTGGTATATAAACTTTGGTTCTCTGAGTCAGTGTTTTTCTTTCCCTCTGAACTCTGTGGTGGAGAAACCAGTCAGCAGTGCTGGATAAAAACAGCCAGAAATTCTGGAATTTATGCATGAGGGTCTTTGCAAAGCCAGTGGCAAGAATCTGACAAGTCTAGACTGCTCCATATCACACTGTGGTTGTCCTACATAACTGGGACTTAAATGCTCACTATGTGCTTCAATCTAGATATGAAAATACTGATTTCTTCCTTTCAGATTTCAAGATGACTAAAACAATGTCAATACGAATCAGAAATCTTTCTCCAGCCCAGATCAGTAAATGAAACGGGGAGGATTTTTAGGTAACATTTTAGTAAACAGGCTTTAAACACTAAATAGCTGGATAATGTAGTAGCAGACATGCATAAGAAAACTTTTATGGGATATTCAGCAAACATGAACAAAAAATTTAGCAAATTATAGAGGGATGTGAAAGAATCTTTTTTTTTCATAAAGCACATGCATCTATTTGTTCTTCTATAGGTATTGATTCTATTATAAAAGATTACCTAGAGGAACAGGAATAGGATCAGAAAGCATGATCTGGACTGTGGAGTTTATTGAACTCAGAAGGAAATGCTGGCTATTAAAAAACCAACGAGGACTGTGAGTTAGGCATTGGAAACAGATGCATGTGTTTGTGTAGAGTCATTGCTCTACAGCGTGATGGATCACTTGTTAAACGATAAGTGGTTCAGAGAACTGGTGAAAGAACTCAAGAGTCTTCTACATTATGGAATTTCAGGCACAGCCCATTGAGACTTATTGATCAAGGACTGTTATAACCATTAAATAATGTTCTCTCTCATGTTAGTAAAATAGCAATAATTTAGGTTTATTCATTTCACAAGTAGAAGTTTTAGTGCTGATTAGTGGGTAAGTTAAAATAGTTTTGTGGTTTTAGATCATCAGTTTTCAATGCCTTTTGAACAGACCCCGAAACCTCAAATAGTTTTACAGTGTTCCCACTTTTTACAGAGATCCCAACCAAGTGTCTTCTGCAGTGAACAGGGAAGGACACCAATGTTTTCTTCTTAAACGTTGTCAGGGGACTTTGGTATCTAGTGAAGCTACTGCAAAGGTACTGTTCATTCAAAGGGGACATGGAAGACCAAGCCCTTTGGACTGCTGCTACAAGCCAGAAAAGAAAATGGGAAGTCCCTCATAGCATGGGAGATGGATGTAGGAACTGCAAGGAGCCAAGAGGGCAGGCAGCAAATGCCTTGGCTGGTCCCAGGTAACCCGGGGTGCAAAGTCCTTGCCCCAGCTCTGTGGGAGTGGGAGTGCTCAACACCACAGCATTCTGCCCAGAAAGCCAAGAAGCAGGAAAATGACAGGGGGGGAAAGTTAGCCTGATGCTAACTTTTAAAGAGATAAAGCTTGCAGTAGGTACACAATGTGTTGGAGTGTCCAGTGACTTCTGACACTACTTGGATGCTGGTAGTGAGTAGGAGGTCCTCCATCCCAGCCCTTGAAAAGCATTCCTGCACATATGGCTGTTCAGCATGTCACTGAGGGCTGCCTGCCATCACACTTCAGAATTATTAGACCAGAAGTTAGTGCTCTGATGGTATTTAGAGGGGAATTTATCTTTTTTGGTCTAGCAAAAGCTAAAAGGATACAAGGCAGCCATCCAAGTTTCAAAAATGCATGAAATTCAGTGGTTTTATAGTGCTTTTAGAAAGGAACGGATTTGAAGCAGAGAAAGCCATTACATATCCCCCAGTTGTGTTCATTCCTCTAAACAATCATTAAAACCAGGCCAGGTTGGGGTTTTCTTTAAGGGAATGCTTTACCTCTTCTGTGTTATTAAGACTACTAATAGAGGCTGACGCTGCTGTCTCTAGGAAAACAAAAAAACAATTTTTTTCAGCTCTTCCCTGAGCTTCTTATAACAAGTGCTGGTGATCAATTAGTTAGTTCATTAAAAAGTTACACATGATTTTATTGAGGCAAGCAATTCTGAATCAAAGAAGCCAATTCACAGATCTAGGTTGAAGCACATAATTGGCATGTATTTTAGAATTGCTGTTAAAGCTGTAAAATAGATTTACTAGGGAAGGAATGGATCCAAAAACCCTAAAGGAAGGAATATGTTATTTGTGTGATTCAGTGTAACAAATGGACTCATTTAACACTAAAGTCTTATCTATATTAAAACAAATATGTGAAATAAATATAAAGCTTCTTTGACTTCTTTAGCAAGAAGTTAGCCTTCATCTGATAAAACGTAAATTACCTACAGGATTATTGCATTTCTTATGCCATTACTTACATTATTGCTATAAAAGACGTATTTTTATTGAATCATTTAAATTTAGTTGAGAAGTTGCCAATGTGTAAGCTGTTAAACAGAATTATATAAATATGTTCACTATGTTGTTGAGATCCACTGTGACTCTGGAATTAAAGCCCCAGTTCAACAAACAGTTTTGCATGCACAATTTAGTGGGGAACCTTACACATGTGCAAGTAGGACATTGCTGAGCATTTACAGGGTGAAAGAGAGCAAACTGCATTATTCAAAGGATGTTTTAGAAACAGTGATACTTTTTTGAGTTTACAAGGAGGCCAAATCTTGAAACTCAAGGAAATTAGTTTGGGTTAAGAAAACTTTGTTTTTAAATACTTGGAGAAAGTATGAGGTGAGTTTTTGCAAGTTTTCTTTAAGAAAAACAATGACATTTTTAATTTTGAGCTGAGGTGCATAAGAAATCAAGTCTTAAATATATTAAAATCAGCATAGAAACTAGGTTCTGTTATAATTTGGATTGCTCAACTGCCACAATGTAAAAGCTTCTGTAGCTGGTATTGCTGTTGGACTATGCTGATGGCATTGAGGCATTTTTTTCAACTATTAGCCTTCCCAAGGGATCTTTTCAGACAAAATGTTATGCACCAGCTCTTATTTGAGTGTAAGTCTATTGAATAGCATTCTTCTTTCTGCCAACTTGGCAGCAAGTTCTTGTGCTAATAAAAGAGGTTACCCCAGATAGAGATCCCAGATGTGCCTGAACAACTTTTATTAGGACTATGGAGGGACTCAGTGCTTCCTTCTGACTGTTTTAAAAAAGGTGTGGGCTTGCCTTCATAATTGCCCAAAGAATTGCATCACTAGACATTTTTTCCTCAAATTGAACAAAATTATAGATGTGTTAGCACAGAAATACTGATGTTGAAAACGAGGAATGCCTTTTGCCACAATACAAATGTTCACTTGACCTTACTGAATTCTGTGGGAGAGGAGAAAATTGCTGTTTAACCTTGAGTTAAAAGTCCCTTGAATCATTATCTCACATAAATGAGATCCAACATAGTGATCAGAATAAGTAACAATTGACCTTTCTCAGAACAGCATTAATTATTAATTAATATTAATAAGGAACAATATTAATTATTCCTTGAAACCAGGATGATTATTGTACCCAGGGAAAAAAACAGTATAGTGATTGCCTGTTGTAAGGCTATTTTGAACTGGAATTGCCAACAGCACTATTCTTTTTATTTTTTAGTTCTATTTGATAATCAGCAGTTTAAAAAGAAGTTATGATGCTAAAAATTAATCTAAATCTACTTGAATGTGCCAGCTGCAGTTTTGAAACTGAAAGAAATAGGATCCTCTGAGATACTTAGTAAAATAATATAGTTTGTTAAACTCACTGTTGCTATCCATAAATCATAACAATAAGAAGTTTACAATCTTAAATCATAATCTTGATTTTCCTTTCAAGGCCACAAACTTCATGTTGAAATTTTTATTGTTGTCAGAATTTGAATAGAGAAAATAAGGTTTCAATTAGAATAATTAATTACTTGCTTTTATTGTTCATCTTATTATTGAATTACGAATCTAATATCTGATCATGTCTCTGCTTGATTTTTGTTGTAGTTGTGTCAGATATAAAAATGAGCAACACATGATAGTATTACATTCCAGATTTTCAAAAGCAAGGTTTGACTCAAATATTCACATTAGTTTCAGTGGGCCTTGGATCAGGCACAGGGTTAACAGCTTATTTTTCAAACAGCTAGAAAGAGGTGTAAATGTCAAAGGTGATAGCTATACTGTGAGTTCCATAAACTACAAAAAAAGTTACTACTAAAGCTCTATTTTTCCTTGGTTTAACAGCTTCTATGAAAACAGTGTTAATAAGTATATCAGGAACAGTATATAATAATGAATCAGAGACATAAAAAAAACCTTTAAAATTCCTTTTATATAATAATTGGAAAGTTAAAAGTGACTTAAAATCCCTGACTTCTCATGCTGTGATGTAAATTGTATTTTTTTTAGGTTCCAAATTCAAAGAGGGAAAGCTGATCCAACCAGTTACAAGAGCCTGGGGGACTGTTTTAGGACTATTTTCCAACGAGAAGGGTAAGAGTATATGTTTTAAAATTGTCAATTTTATGCAACCTTTCTTAATCATCCATTTTCCAGACATTAGATCCTCTTTATATTCCACTCTTCTTTTTGCAATTGCAAGAATTTGGCAAACATATTCGTACATAACGAGCACAATTTGAAAAGTCTTGATTAGTCTAAATTAGACTCACAATGCCATTTTGGGTTATTAGAATATGTCAAAGAATGCACAGCTGCATAGAGACGCTGGTGCAAAGCCTGCTTCAGCACTGGAGCAGGACGGCTGCATCAGTGTATGGCTGTATCTTCACTCTTGTGTCTTGTCCTGGTTTAGTAACTAGCTCAGGTTGAGTGTATCACTTGTTTACATGCTCTGATGAGGTGGCATTCCCAGTTACCTGTGGCAGACCTGTGTAAGCAAAATTTCACAGCTTTTCAGTTTGACAGAATATGGAAAAAAGAATTACTTGAATCATATTGGCATCACTGCCACTGCCAAGGTACCACTGCTCTAAGCTCAAGCTCTTTGAAGGGAGTTGGATTCTGATCCAGAAAGGCATTTAAATATAGGCTTAATTTTATGAGCAGTCCAGTTAAAGCCAGTGAATGTAATGGGATCAATCATATGCTTAAAGTTAAGTCTGTTATCCACAGGAGCTCTTTGGAAGCTAGCCTTTAATCAAGGTAAGTCTAATTGGTAAAACCTAGCTTTGAGTAACTGGCAGGCTTTCTATAGACCTTTTTAATACCATAGCAACCCTTTTTTTTTTTTTAATCCACATATCACAGCAACAATTTGGTTGGAAAAGACCACTGAGATCATTGAGTCCAACCCATAGATCATGACTACAACCTAAATATTCACCAAAATGGAACTGATCCTGTATATAGTGGCACAGATGCTGGGTATGGAGGCAGCATAGGTGCAGTGAGACATAGATTTCTTGCATCCACAAGCTGCACTGGAAAAACAGAGGTGAGATGAGCAGTGAAAATTAATAACTAGACCAGCTTTGTTTCTTGCAGTGAGATTTAGCTAAGCTAAACTACCTTAGTACATCCATATAGAACCAGATGGTTTGAAATGAGGAAGTAGGGACATACAAAGAAGTTTTATTAAGGTGTTGAAAGACAAAGTTATCACAGCTGTCCTTATTAGTTGTAAATTCATTTTTGTTGAGAGACTAAAGTTTTGGTTTTTCACTACAATAGACATTAAAAAGCTTAAAAGCTAAAAACATTCCACGCAAATAATAATCTGTGGTTTCTAAGGTTTTCTAGGCTGAGTTTATGTTAATTTGTATTGCTTCTTGAAAGAAAACTATTGCCGTATTAATATTTATGTTAATTTAAACTATTTTTAAATAGAAAACTAGTTTCAATATTTAAGTCAGTGAGTATGAAAACAATATTTATCTCATCCCAATTCACTAGTATTTTTCTAATCTGGAGAGAGAGTTTAAATCAAGAGACGTCTTCCAAGGTAATTGATTATTCATTGTTTTTTTCCTATGGAATTCTTGTCCCCCGACAGTGGAAATAAACCAGAATATTTTTAATGTTTGTAACAAGTCATGAACTATTGAGCAGGAAAAAGAAGATGGTTACATGAAAATATTATATATTTAAATCACGTTTTAGCAGTAGATTGCACCGAATTTCTGTTGGGCAAGAGTTAATATAGAGTTTTACTTGCCTCTATCAAAAGCAGTCAATACTGATCTAACCAAAAAGGAAATCTCATGACTACCTGTTTTTTCTCCAGGAAGTTAGACAGAGGCAGAAATTTACATTTAAACAGACGATCAGTAGTAAGGATAGGGGGAAAAAATGAGATAAAATATCTCAGATGAACTATAAGATTAAATTTTGGATAGCAATTAGAAAATAAGTCTGTTAATCCTGAAAAATCTGTATGACTCCATGAGTCTTTCATTCCTGTCTGCACAAGTTGTCTGGTTTTCTGGGGCATGGTGATTACGACAACTGTGAAGGAAGTGAGGGTGGAATGCGAATTATTTAATTTGTGAAAATCTCTAATCCTGATAACCCATTCCTTGTGTGACCACAAAAATATGCAGAAGAGAGCTCCAGAAAAGGGCTTTACATTTAGATACTAAGAAAACTAAATCAGTTTATGAGGTGTTCAGACTCAAGTAAATCTGTGAGGAGGGTATAAGAAATTCATTTATGCCCCATGCTTATTTCATATTGGCACCATGAAACCCCCCCATGATGGTGTGTGGCATTTTCTGAAAATATATAAATATCTAAATCTATAAAGAGTTTAGGCATAAACTAAAGCAGAAAGAACTAAACTAAACGAAAAAGGGTTTAGGCATCTATCTCCAGTGAATTCCCTTTTGGCATCTGTGATTTTATATTAAATTTACTAAAAAAAAAAAAAACCCTAACAAAATATAGAAATACAGTAGGAAAACAAGTGTTACTAATGGCCTGTCCCTGAAAATGTTTACATTTGGGAATATTGCTTATGCTGATTCATCCTTACACTTTTGAATAGTAGCAGCTAAGGTAAGCCAGAATGTCAAAGACCAGTTCAGGTGAGACACTTCATTGTGCCTTAATCTTTTGACCTTTTTGTATTGAGGTTAACTATGCAGAATCAACCTAGGAATTATTTCTTTTTATGAACATACATGCAAATGTTTCACAGTGGCTATTACTGAAAATCGACCAGTACTATGTTACTGCAGTATCACTGGAGCAATCTGCTGATTTCATGGAAAGCTTCATCACAAATAGCTGCCAGAATTCTTTAACCATCCCTCTGATTTTGTCCTCATTACAATGAAAAGGACAGAGGAAATAATTGTCTAATCACTAACAGAACACTGTCCATTCCAAAGAATCAGAAAACTCCTTTACAAAATGCTAGAAATCTTTGAACAAAACAAACCAAACAAAAATCCAAACAAACAAAAACCCAAAAACAAAACAAAAACCAAACCAAACAACCAAACAAAAACGCAACAGGAAGTTCTACAAAAACTCCCTTCCCCCAAACTTTGAGTAAACTTTGAGTATCTCTTTAGCTGGAAATAAAATTTCTTCATGAGGAATTAAGTTCTTCAAAGAAAGATTTATCCCTTTAATTCTTTTCTTGTCTTGAAAGTGGGAGCCACAAAACATAAAATTTAATTAAGACTCACTAAATGAAGTCTCAGTTGAGCAGAGTATTGAAGGTCACGTAACTTTCTTTTAAAGGGAGTCAGAGCTATTAATTTCAGGGATTTTGTGAAATTGTTTTGAGAGCATCCAATCACTACCAATTGCACAGGACCTGCATAAGCAACCTCTGCTCAGTTGGATTTGCTAGGAGTTGTGCAGTAAAGGTTCTCTGGTTTCACTTATTAGATGATGCATGAATTGACAGGTCTTTGACAGTGAGGTAAACCCACCAGGAGCATGTCTGTTTATTGAGGAGTGATAGCTTTATAGCCAACATAAAAATAATTTGATGCTTATTGGGGAAAATATTTGGATATAGGATTAATTCAAAGCATTAATAGAGAAGACTTCTCATTGTCTGTAGATCCTACAAATAACGTTAGATGTTAGATTGTGTTAAATGACTGATCTTTATACCAGCATAATCAATCTTTACTGTGTTTGTACTCACTTGCTTTTTTTGGATAGTGACTTAAGTTGGAATTTGAAATGTAAGAATAAACCAATGTTCTAGCTGAATGTATATGTTGTATCTATATTAAAGACACATGGTGTTGTGTCTCATATTAAGAATGGAAAATTATGCCCATCTGCATTGTCTTAATCTGCAGTTACAGCATTAAAATGATGGATGCTTTTATTTCAAGTCTGTAAACAACTTTGTTCTTATAAACTTGGATTGTCATGGACTCATAATTTTAGCAGTAAATGTTCTGGGTTATAGTGGGTTTCCTGGGAGACACTCAGTCAAGAAACCTGTTACCTTCTCATTCATTTGTTAACTTTAATTAACAGGAAGGGCAGTAGTGTCCTGGATTCCACTTTTATAATTCAACACTTCAATAAGTTAGAGTTTAAAGTGCTTATTAGCCTTTCTTAGAGCTAGATGGACCTGGGAAAGTGCAAAACACAATTGTCATTAATTTGAGACTTCATTAGTTCTGCTGAGTTATTTGATTATTTATGTTTAATTTGCTTTGAGAAGGAGCAATTGCCACCACATTTACACAGTCCGATAACTTCATAATTATTCCTGACTTGTTCTCAGCACCACCTTACCACTCTCTTGTACCTATAATTGTCTGTATGACCACACACCTTTTTGTTTAATAATCAGCACCCTGACTCATACATTAATGGGGTTATAAAGCTGCACAAAACTTGTCAGCTATGGGTGGAGTATATGGGAGAACAGCCAAGACTAAGAAGGAGCTGGATGAGTGCAAAGTCATCAGCAAACATGCAGAAGCTGGAGGGCTCTTGGCTCATGTGATATCAGCAATCATGCATCAATTAAGGAATTTGCTAGCACTCTCTTTTGTCTTGCCTGGTATGTCATGGTAACAAGTGTTTGAGAGGCTGCAGCAGTGCTCTTGAGGCCTGGCTCTCCCACCTGACTCAGAAGTCACTCTGCTGCTGCTAAATGCCACTAGATCAGGGACGGAGACTGGCAGAGCTGGCAGCCATGCAGGCAAGCACCAGTCTCTGGCACTCACCAATATCATCAGTGACTATTCCTGCTCCCAAAAAAGGGTTGCACAAGATACAAATCCTATTCTTCACCTGAAGCCTTCAAGAATATTTCCAGCCAGGTAGACATCATGCCAAAAATCCCTTTTCCCAGTGTGCATTTATAAAGGAGAGATTGATTTCAACTTACTAGAGGCATAAATTCTTGTGATATTGAAAGACCAGACTTTAGGCTCTGCTTTCAATGCTCTGAAGGAAGCAGAAGTTGTAGATTAAGATGTTATTTCCCACAAACACACAGCTATTTACCCCACTCCTTAATTTACTGTTAGCACTTCAGACCAGGAGGA